GTTTTTGTTGTTGCGGTATGAGTAATTGTGACTCTATTGATATGGATTTGGGGGCCTACAAATGGACATTATTTTAGCAAGTTTCAATTTGATGGATATTAGGACACCATTGTTCTTGTAGTTTCTTGTAGGTAATTTTGTTTGTTGTACATATTGTTATGTGTAATACTAATGTTTACACTTTATTTTGTCAGGTGTTATTCACCTTTTTGGGATGAAAATGTTTTTTATTTTTTAAACAATGTTATAATTGTGAATTTAGATGTGAGCTGTTCCTTTGGCGTTATATATGGCAAATACAAATAGACATAATTGGAGAAGATAAAATCAACACATATATATATATACATATATATATATATAAACAATTGACAAATACATCAGTCAATATTTCAGACTTTATTACTTGTCCATAACTACAATCAATTGACAAAAGTATCAAATGAATATTCTAAACTTCCAACAAAAGTTATCATTTGTTTAAGCATGTCAATCGTCCTAAATCTGTCAATCTCAAATAATGGATACCATACAAAAGACTACTTTAGTTGAAAAAACAAAAGAAAAGAAAATTAGTCAACATTATGGATCCCTTAAGTTGAACCTTCACCTCTAGCGTTTGTTGAACTTCCAGCCCATCTATTAATCATAAAAGGAGGTTCTTTATCTAAGTATTCGTATTTAGTGTTTATCATAATTTTATTTATATCACTCAACTTTCTCTTGCCAGGTTCCCTTTTTTTATGAGCTCCAAAATTCATATGTCTAGCAGTGCCACTGGTGTCTTGGTTAACAATTGTAAGCCTAATTCTCCTTATCTGTGGGCAACAAATATAGACAGTATGAACACATTGTAAATTAAACAATTTAATTAGGAAAAGTGCCAAAATAGTAGGACCAAAATTGTGGACTAACTAGTGCATTAGTCTTTCTAATATTCTGTTTTGGTTTGGTTGTTCTAACAACAGTATCTAATCTTTGTTCGTTTTAAGCATTATAAGTTTTCACATATCCAACACTATCAGCTTGTGAAGATATAACAAGAGTAGTGTTATTGTTGTTTGATTGCCCCTCTTTTTTTGTCAATGTTTCAAACTCTACAAATGCTTCATGTTGGGGGGTATCTGCACCAAAAGCACCTTTATGTAAAACCAGATTCAGGACTTGTAACAGCATTTCTAGAATTACTTCTATCAGATAATGTGATAGGCCTTGTAGCAGATTTTGTAACAACATATTTCATGCCAGCAGAGTGAGATGGATCAGCAACACCAGAATCTGAAACATATTTGCAAGTAGTACTATTGTGACTTGCTTGCCCACATTTTTTGCAGTGCATGATTACATGTTTCTTCAGTTTTTGCACATTGTTTTTTCCAATATGAACATCACTTCTTACTTTAGTTCTTTCTTGATCTTTTTGACCGACCAGGTTGAACACATGGTATGGGAGAATTCAACGTATTGCTCTCAGACCACAGGAACTTGCCATTTATTGGATAAAATACATTATCATAGATTGCTAAAAAGACATCTCTACTATAACAATCGTGTGCATATTCATAGGGGTCCCACCAATTTTAATAATGATCGAAATTGCATGACAACATAGAAGATCACTAATTTGCCACTAAGTTACAAGTACATATTTTCTCTCTTAAGTATACAACAAACTGTTTCCCCCTTAATCCATTGATTTGATACTCTCCTTTACCATTTGAAATTAGACGCCATCTTCTAGATAGTTTTTCTCTTTTTTCAATCAAAATCTTTATTGTTGAACCAACGGAACCACTACATTTCCTCATCCAAGAAGTCCTACTTTTTATTCCCTCCATAAGAAATCCTCTAATCCCCTCACACAATTCAATGATTAAATCTCTATAATTCAATACATGTGAATTAAAGATCTCGGATAAATTATTGGCAAACATGTCAGATTTTATGTGGTATAGGAAAAAAGTCTTACACCAATATTAGGGTGCTGCTGATTTTTTAATCCATGCATAAGCCTGTTGGTCAAATTCTCTCAACCCTTCCAATGTTGCAACATAAAATTCAACTATTGTAACTGATGCAATGTTTCAAAATTTCTACTTCAGGAGCTCCCTAAGGTATTTCGTCTTAAAATTTTTATACATGTGTTGTACGCAAAATCTATGTCCAGCATATGACAACAATTCAAGTAGATCACTATTAAAACTCTATCAATATCAAGATAGTAAAACAACACATATTAGGGATCCAAGGTAGCTGTGTGTTAGCCACTTACATGAAAATTAGTGAAGTGAATGTATAGAAACTCACTTTCTATTAGTTTGAAATAAATGTATATTCTCTGATTCCATGAAGTATGTCTAAATCTTCAATCAACAAACTTAAAAATCAATGCCATTACTTGTTTACCTCTTTTTCAATAATAGCCCAAGTTATTAGTCACCATCCATTATTGAGATCAACCCCAATAGCAGTCAATAGTTAGTCAGGGTAAGGTCCCTTAATATGGCACCCATCCAGAACAATAAGAAGCCTACATCCTTTTTTGAAACATGTTTTTAGTGCTCCCAAATAATAGTACAACCTCATGAACTTAGGGTTGCTTTGGGAATCAGGTTTTCGGTAGAACTTGACATCGATGGTGGTGTTAGGATATATTTTCTGTAATTCTACTGCATATTTTTCAATTAAAGCATATTGCTTAGTTGCTGAACTTCTAATGTTTGCTTTAACTACGGCTAATGCTTTGTATCCTTTGTTTTTTGTTCACAATTGAACTGTTAATCAACATTTTGCAACAGCTGTCCAACTAGCATTTTCATGTTTATACGGGCTAGCTTTTCAAATTTTTCTGCCAGCCACTCTGAAGTCATATTCTTATTCCTCTAAGCATGGCTACAATTATTGTGTACATCAAGCATTCTCTTAAATACAAAATCAAATGTGCCTAACGTTGGAACCTGTGAAGCATACATGTATCACTTGCAATTAGGATGCCTAGATTTAGATCTCAATCTTGTCTTGTCATTGGTATACATATAGATTGGTCTACCAGATATGATTGCTTAAATACAAAATCAAATGTGCCCAACGTTGGAACCTGTAAAGCATACATGTATCACTTGCAATTAGGATGCCTACATTTAGATCTCAATCTTGTCTTGTCACTGGTATACATATAGATTGGTCTACTAGATATGATTGCATAGTTTTTTATGGCAATTATAAACTTCTTTTTGGTACCAAATTTCTGGTCAACATGAAACTGTGGAGTTCAACTATCTCTGGCAATATTGAGACTGGTATACCTCATTGGAGCATCATCATCTTCACTTGTATCAGGATCACTATGAAACTCCACATCTAAGGTATCATTTATAAGTGAATTGTGTTTAGGTCCACCTACTCCATCTTTATTTTCTGAACCAGTGGCTTGGGACTGTTGCGCTTTATCACTCCTTTTTCTTGTGAAATTTCTAGTTTGTTGTCTCTTCCTTCCTTGCCTCTTGCCCTTGGTTGATGGCTCATGTTTGAATGTAGAGTTTTCATGATGATCTTTTTCAATTGGTTCATCATGATGAAAGGACTCTGTGTGGAGGTAGCTACCTTGATTGGCCCTTTTTTGGGCCCCAACAAAAGTATCTTGAATCTCCATGTGCTACTCACACTCTTGTTGATACATTTGTTCATCTTAGCATTATTTATTATAATTAGCAAAGTCTTTCCTATGATTAAAACTCGAATCATACTCAGTTCTATTATGCGTTCCATCTTGAATGGCTTTTTCAACAGTATCATTTCTTGCCTCATTTGTCTTGTTCATTTCTACAACTGGTTCTACAGTTGTTGTATTATTTTCGAACTCTCAAATTGGACAGTCTTGCTTTTACTCCAAAGCAGCAATAGCCTTTTTCCTAGCACAAGGTCTCGCAAGTTTTTTTGGAACTACTTCAACAACATTTTCAATCTCCTCTATAATAACTGTAGACTTCTGCAATAGTTCCTCCATCTGCTCTTTTTTCTACCTACCAAGCTCATATATTTCTTCTAATATCAAATGATCGTAGTAAACCTCTATAAACTTATATTCATACACTAATCACAAAATTTTCGCATATTTTTATCCGTTTGAAATTCTTTTAGTCTGTGGTTCAAGTCATTTCTAGAATCAACATAATAATACAACATAATCCTCCGGTGCCCGCATTTTAGAACCATTTCATTTATCACTTGTAACGACATAACATATGCATGATGCATGTCAAAGTAGTCTACCTCTCTCCTATCATAACTCTTGTACTTGTTTTCCTTAATTTTATTCTCATGGTGAAGTTTAATTGAAAATGCACCTCTTCCATTTTCTACATCAACACAAAAAAAATTAATCTTAATTAGTATTTTTATTGTTCATATAATTAAAAATGAACGTAAAATCAGCAACCATCTAACACACGAAACACAATTAACAATAAATTTCAATAAATTATAAAAAAAAAATGTTCTTGTAAGACCCTTTGCAACATATTGTGATGACAACAAAATGAATCCTATAAAGAAACGTCCTTTTCAATCCCACCAGTGCTCTCATGTCGCTTTCTTCTCAACCAGTACAAAACATAAAATCCTTTTACTCACTAAATACAATACCCACATAGTTCAATAACACCATTCATACATTATTAACCAAATCAAGAAGAATGTATGGGTTTTAGCGATTTCTTACCACATAGTTCATACGAATCCAAGTATTCATTTCTATTTCGCTTTATCCACTTCATCTGTGATTAATCAAACAGCACCTTATGTGATTGATGAACTTGTCTACCAGATTTTCTTTTTCAATTTTTGAATTATCTATTCTAATCTTGTCGACCCTAAATTTTGTCTTGTCTTTTCAATTGAAAATTTAGTAACAAAGTTTTGCGTCTGAATTGAACGGCCAACCACTTTACCTTAAAGTTTTTAGACAATTTTGCCCTTCAAACCCTAGATTACACGGAATGCTACAAAACATGCTTTTTTGCGTTAGTTCAGTGATATTTTTAGCCAACGAATAAATTTAGTGACATGAACAAGTACTAGTGTGTAGTTTAGTGACACTTTTGGCAATTTGCTCTTTGGGCGATAGCCACCCGGAAGAAAAAAGTATGGCATCAGAGGAAGACTACTAAAAAGAGAGAATGGGGACTGAGGAGAAAGACCTCGTCAAAGGAGGAGGAGGAGGAGGAGAAGAAGATGATGATGATGATGACGACGGCCCACCGCCTGGATTTCATTGCATTGCTACCCAAATAGAAGAAAATTTAGTTAAGGAAGAAAAAGATGCAGAAATTAATGAAAATGAAGATGATGAAGATGAAGATGTCGATGGTCCACCACCTGGATGGTCTTCAATTCCTCCTGCAACCTTTCAGCCAGTTCACCCTTCTGGTCAGTATGTTTGTTATATGTTAAAGGGTATTATATCCCAAGGAAGAAAAGTTTTCCCAACAATGTTAAAGACTGAAACTTTTTACACTTTGATCTTCAGTTATGGAAATTCATGAATTTTCTTGTACCCTTCTTTTTCCTTGTTTTATCATTAGTAATATGTTTATGTATATCTTGTTGGGGGTGGATTAGGGGTTTAATTAGTGTATGAGTTCATTAATCAGGACAACATGTACTTGTTCACTTGCACTTCATGATTGTACAGTCTCAGACAACCACTGTGCCTTGAGAGAGTATAAATTCGGTGCACTGTGTGGTATAGTCTGTACAAAGCGTAGGAAAATGTCTAATAACTTGATCAGGTGCTCAAATAAAGGAGTGGTGTGGGCAAAAAAAGAAACTTTGTCACTTGGTTTCATCAAGGCTTGAGTGTAGGGCTTTGAAGGTGTAAGTACATAAGTCAATGCGTTTGAGCATGGGGCTCTGAAGTCATGTCCCTTCCTAAGTATTGGGTTGTCAAAAGCATGACTTGAGATTGAGGGGACGTCTTAAACTGCTTAATTTGCTTGGTTCTTTGATAGCTAAACCTTTTAGATAGATGTGGATCTTTTACATATTTTTTCTGTGTCAGTCATGGAACAGGTTATTTCCTTCCCCTGATTATAACAAGAGTTTGTAACACCCTGTTTCTTGCCTATTAAATTGTCTATTAGGTTGGTGTTTTTAGCATTTCAACGTTACACTTGAATGAATGATTATGATATTGACACTAGTGAAAGATACAGAGCCTATTTGTGTCTGATTAAAAATGAATTGCAAAAGTATAGTTTTTTGTTATTGAATTCTGTATTACAAAAAACTGCTAGAAAGAAAGTAGAGGTTGAGACTTAAAGAATGTTGTCAACAGGAGGTCAAAATTTATCTATCAGGAACATATTAGGCGAAAGGGAGATTATACCAATACGCCCCTGCTCTGTGTATAGTTAGTTGGCCCTTACCTTTTAGTTGAAATTTCCTTGTGATCTTCAGAATGTATCTTTTTACTTGAGTTTCTCATATTGTTACTAGGATGGTGGGATATACAGAGGATCTCAGTTTCCTTCGAAGATTCTGAACCAATTTAAGAATTCATTTTCTGCATACATTAGTATGAAGCTTAATCCAGTATTCATGTAGCTAAACTTTGCTCAAGTGCCTGAACTGAAGTGGTTGTGATGTCACGTGCATATATCTATACCCTGATCATGAAATTGAAATGTTTTTTGAGCGGTTGCACTCTATGGGGAAAGATTTCTAGAAGATGGTACTATTCCTCATATGCGTGGGTTGAGGGAAGATGACAACTGATTAGACTGGGAGTTTTCTAGGAGTGGACTTTGGTCAAGAATGCCTGCGGACAGTTTCATCAGATTGATTACATTTATATGGTAGCTGATAGCTGTTTAATTATATTTGACTCAGCAATAGCCATCTAAAATTCTGTATCATGACAAGTTGTGGTAGTGGTGCTGCCTTCCTGGATAACAGTTGTCATGTATGTTTTTTGTCCTTCTTGTAGTCCTCCGAGTTATTCATCTACTTAATAGAATATGTTCTGTTTTTCCCTTTGAAAATTTTCAGTGAATTAACTTATTCATAATATTCAGACGTAGAAATGTCGGACAAGCAAAAAGAGGATGAAAATGAAGAAGGGCCTCCACCTGGGTGGCACTCAGTTCCACTGGCCTCACAGTCATCAGAAGCTGTTCTTGCTGGTAAGTTCTTTCTCCAACCATCTTTCTTGGTTCTTTACTTTTCTCTTTATTTTCTTTCTCTTCATTTTGGTGTTTATGATCTTAAATTCTTGTATCCTTCTGTTCAATAATGTGCAAACACATTCATGGAGAACTTGATTCATTCTCCTCATTTGCCCATAGTTAATTGCTTGATTTGCTTCAAGGATAGCACAACCCTGCAGTATCAGGATAATTCTTATTCATTAAGAAAACATTTCAATCTTGTTTACGAAGCTTTAGTCCTGCCCTCCCTTGTTACTTATTTTCAGGACTCCATGACTTTGTTTATTGGTCGTGGCTGTGCTCAGACAATCAAGAAACATACATCTCCTTTGCTGGATATTTAGCAAGCAAAAGTTTGGTTATCAAGATAGGGTATTTAGTCATCCAGAAACAGTTTTATCTGCTTTTACTAAATATTTAGTAGAATTTTGGCTAGCTTTGAATTATGTCATTTGCTAATTTTGGATCTCTAGTTCATTATGCATTATGATGTCCATCATATGATGTGTATTATTTGTGGGTAGACTGCTAGATTCTGCTTATATCTTGCTGGGTGGAAATTTTTGCCTGCAGCATATAAAGGCTTGCAAGAAAAATAAGAAACACTTTTAGAAAGCTCATAGAATATTTGATTGGAAGCACAAAAATGAAGGTCATACTAATTTAATTTGCTTAAAGTAACTAAAGGGTATGATAGGCTATTTCCTTGCTGAACTTTTACCTATCTTGTCGATAACTCAAGCCCACAATTTGGCATTAGGTTCAAAAAGGAGTGACCTGTGTGTATTCAACATATGGGGTTTGTTCAAAAGAAGGAGAACTGGTGCCTTATGCCACAGCCAAATTAAAAAAGAAAAAAAGAAAAGGAGAACTTGTGCTGGATAATCCAAATGCATAGTTATATTTGATGATAATATCCTTGTACAGATGATCATGATGTTTTGTAATTTGTGGATTGAGGGAAAGAAATATTAAAACTGCTATCTTGATTTACTGCACAAGAATATTTTAGAACTTTTAAGCAAAAATTCCATTCATCATTTTATACATATTTGAGCACATTGTTGCACCTCAAAGTTCTAGCATAAAAGATTGTTGCTTGATCCCTTGTCATTTTAATGGATGTCTTTTGTTCATTTTTATTTATTTCTAGATGCCCATCATTCTGTTTTATGTGTTATGGAATTTTGAACAGCCTATTCTGTTTATTTTAATTATCATTTATTGGAAACCACAATGTATATCTTGTCTTAGGGCAAACAAACAAAGATTTATATCAACCTCCTGCAAGGTTTAATGCTTTTAGATTTTTGGTTTATTTTTCTATGATTATATGTAATCATAACTAGCCTGTCATTGTCAGATACACAAACGGGAAATCATGAAGACAGAACCAAATACATTGATGAAGGGTCCCAACCAGGGCAGAAATCTGTACCTCCACTGAAGTTGCTTCCACCTACACCACCTCGACCACTACCTGCAGTATCATCTCCTTCGGGTAAGTCTTTTCTTACATGTAAGTGTGTAAAGCATACATTTTTAACATAACTAAAATACTGAACTTCCATGGACGTGCAATTAACTCACTTCCATTTTTAATTTAATCTTCAAGCACCATTAATCTTACAGTTGATACTGCAATGGACCTGTGCCTATATGTCTTAGAATACATTTTTCTGTTATCATCTGGGAGTGGTGGAAATTCTCATGGGTTGCTGTCACCATTGTTGTAGAGTGGTATTGTCTCTGACCACTGTTGTTCTGATTTTTCCTTCCTGGAGCTTCCCGAAGTTCAAGTCCATGTAGAAAGTCAAAGTATCACACCATGTTATCTTTTCCCTATATTTTCTTGTCTTCTTCTATAGTCGCTCAAATTTCCTTTTTCCTTTTTTCTAATCAAATACTCTGTCCAATTTTTTCGTGGTTTGAATCTTTTTTTCTTATGATAATGGTTTGAATCAAGTGTAGTCAGTGGTTTGAATCTTGCACACATAACAGAGTGTTTTCACGAGCATGTCATGTGTAAAAAGGGGAAACAAAATATTTTTGCAATGTACCATAATAAATGTGCCAAATCATGTTTATGGAGGTACAAAGTCTAGTTTGTACCTTGAGCTGCTCTTACAGATGACTTCAACTTGAAAAGCTATAAACCCAAAGAAATCAGGTATCTTTGCCTTTAATATTATACTCCAATAGTTTGATGTAGTTTTCATGTATAAATATTTTCTGAATTAGTGTGTTGCTGCTCCAAGATATATATTTTACTCCTTAAAAGGCCAACTTCCAAGTTTTATGTAGCCCCTTACGTGGTGAGTAGGATGACGAATTATAGCATAGAATACTTCTGAGGAAATAAGATGCTTGTGAAAGAAAAAGACAAAGGCCCAAACAAGAAACCGATTTATTCTTGATTTCTTGATTTTTATTGTAAGGAGAATTTGAAGCACTATTCAAGGAAATTTTGTAATTGTGACATCTATTTAGCCCCTTAGATAGATGGGAATTAGTATCCTTGGGTTGTTCATCAGCACCATAACCCCTTGAGGTGCTCTAGGTACTTTTTACCCGCGTGAATTTTTTTTGGCCATACTACATTTTGGCAATACATCTCGAATTGCCATATGATCTTGAAATGTGGCAGCATAGCTGTATCGTTTTTCCATTTGACTACAAGGATGAGTGTTACTGTAACTTCTGTATCTTTCTCAAATGCTTGTCCGCCTCCGTGTTATTTTAAGGTGGAGGAACCACATAATATCTGCTCTAGAATGTGTCTCTTCTTCTGAATGTGGATGATGGCATTATGTATCTCTTAATCTAAAATGTTAATGCCTTTGCATTGTTGCTTAAAATGATTTCATGGTTCTGAAATCTTTACCGGAAAACTTTCCTGCTTTGAGAGATGTGGGTTGGTCTATGTTAGCAGTTTCACCTCAAGGTTGTGTGACTTGAATGCAGAAAAGGGTCAGATGGTTTGTGGTTCCTGCCGGCTGTTGCTTGCGTATCCTCCAGGAGTCAAATATGTCCAGTGCTCTTGTTGCCAGACTGTCAACCTTGTTCTAGAAGGTCTTGATTGGTTCTTTCACTCATTAATGAATTCATGTTTTTGTGGTTTTTTTGTTTCTTCACTAGATCACAAAATTTAATGGATTTCGGATTTTGTCTGAAACATGTGTTTTAAAATCTGTTGGTCATATTTCAAATCTTTGTTTTGCTAGTATTCAAACCTGGATAAGATATTATAATTTCTATCCTTTCCTCCTTTAACCTGCCATCAGCTATACGAGTTATTGGAGTTTGGGACACATCTCGATATTTTGTGTTTGGTTTAATTAGTTTGATGATCTTATGCCTTTGATACACCTTATTCTACCCTGGGAGCATGAAGCTTGTATATTAGTTTAATATTTTATGCATAAAGGGTAATTTATACTCATACTAGTCACTTTGTTTGGCCAAGTTTGCCGTCCATTTATATGCTCTCCCATGGAAGATTCCTTCGCCTGTCCAGTATTGCATCTATTTGGATACACTACTGATTTGTGAGTTGACTTCCAAATAGCCCTGGGAGAGCCCCTAGGGTACGTATTAGGGAGTTATAAAGAGATTTTGCATGCGACTTTCGAAGACTGTTCAAAAAGGCTGAATGATACCTGAAAGCTGCTCCAGTTATGTGCAACCGTTGTACTGCTCAAAATTCCAGATGAAGTGTTCATGTAACTCTACTAGAGCCCCTAGGGTACATATGAGGCAGTTATAAAGAGATCGTGCACTCTACTTTCTGAGGCTGTTCAAAGAGGCAGAATGATACCGGAAAGCTACTTCAATTATGTTCAATCATTATACAGCTAAAAATTCCAGATGAAGAGGTCATATGCTTCTAAAACTGGCTGGTTTGAAGGCGAATTGAAGAAAATCCAATGCTTTTGTTATAGACTTTACAGCTCGTTAACAGCAAAGTTCTTTTCTGTCTGTGACATGCATTCTAACAGTGATTATATGCGTCAAAATTTTGAATTTTCAGTATGGACGGTCTTGGGATAGATTTGATGAAGAACCAAGACTCAGTACTAATGAAGTTAATCTTGACATGGTTTATATAATGCCTCTACAGGCTTCATTAACAAAATAAACTACTAAGGTTTCGCTTGATTTTAGGACTCCATTTATCTAGGATTTCTTCATATGACTATCATTTGCTGTTGCCTTTTTTTGGATGCTTATAGACAAGTAATTGTTCAATAAGTTGAAAGTGTTTTTTTCTTTCTATTTTTTGAACAAGTTTTGAAAAGTCAAAAGCTGTTTCTGATGGTGATTGTAACTGCCTTTCTGCTTCTAGTGTTAAGGATATGCTACAAATAGCTCTTCGAACCATATTTTTGTGATACAGGTCCCATAAATAGGTTTTGCCTCTTAGTGTGGCTATTCCATATTGATCATGACTTCTAGATGTACGCAGACCTGTCAAAAAACCAAAGGCTGGCATGAACCTGTATTCTATTGTTCGCGTAATGGCTTTTGCTATCCTAATGTTAAGTATCTTACTCTTGCATTTACTTGCTCGTCTCAAGATAATTTTATCCCATCCTTCCAGCCACCCAATCTATGCTGCAACAAGTTTGCACTTGTTACTTTAAAGCCGTTGAAATAGTAAATGTGTAGAAGGTCATCAACATTCAATTTTACACATTATGGTTTGGATTTGAATGATGTTTTATACGAGTACTTTCTTTGATATGGCTTTGAGTTACACTGTTTCTTTTGCAGATCATCAGGTTGGACAAGTCAAGTGCGGGGGTTGTGCAGTGTTGCTCATGTACCCATATGGAGCACCATCTGTCAGATGTTGCTCTTGCCGCTCTGTGACAGAAATTGGTGTACGGATCTCTTTCTTTGATCATTCTAGCTCCTAAAACTGCTAGATAACTTTCTGACCACTTATGTCATCATCTATTGGTTCAGTTTCAGAACCTCAACATTGACAATCAAGTAATCAAAAAGTAATTTTTGATTCGTATTTCATTTTTTGACCTTTGGGTGGTAATCTGGAAAGAGTGAAAAACCTTGGTGTTTAACCTTCGCAAGAGAAGGGGGAAAAGAAAAGGTGGGCCACCTGAATCCTCAGCCTGCAGGAGAAAGAAGAACTTTTATGTGGGAAGGAAAAGGATGATTAGTTAACATGCATGAGTTGATCTATGTTAATAAATGATAAAGCTGTGTCTTTTGGAATTTACTCTAAAAATGAGCAGAAATTCCTGATGGAATATGAAGTTTGTCTAGCCATCTTAGAGGAGTCAAGAGCTTGCCATCTCTCATCTAGTAAAACTTTCAGTCGTGTCTTAAACTTGTGAACTACTGAAGATCTGCGTATCAGCTTGCAGTGTTTCCTTAAAAATATTCTAGGAAACTGTTATCATTTCAAATCTGGGAAGAAACTACGTTGAGTGGCATGAATAGTTTGCAGACTACTACTTTCATTGATGTTGGTAATTTCATTTATCTTCCGAGGATAAATTCTAAGATGCTCCTATTACATCTTTTGCTTGGATTTGCAAAATGTGCAGGCTCACAACAGGCGACCCCCTCTATCTGTGCAACAGGCTCGCCGACCGCTTTCTGTCAACCGTGTTCATTAGATAGCTAGTTACGCTCTAGACTTCTAGTTCTTTTTCCCATTTAGTTAGCTGGACGTTGGTGCTGTGACTCGGCATATTTTGTTCCATAAATGAAGGCCTCACCTTGTCTATTTTGAATGTTGAGCCTTTCCTTGATTGCAAATTGTTACTACTGTATTGTTAGCTTTTTTCCTGTATCTGGAATCTGGATGCCTTCTTCTGAAGGCTACGGTAGTTTGAACTCCCGCCCACCAGTGTGGACAGAGTCCAGTGGCTATTGTGCCACTGGTTTTTTAGTTGGATGACTTGAGAAAAGCATGTTCCCCACGTTGCATGTTCAAGCCTCTAGACTGGGATGAGTTGAGAAAAGCTTTACTCTGCATGTTGCCGAGTTAAAGCCTGTTCAAATTTTGAAATAAGTATTTTTCGACCATTGAATGCAGGCGTTTTATAGAGGTAAGGACGAAAGGATCGCGTTTTAGCGGTAAAATAGATCCTAGGTTCGGTTCCAATAGGCGTCTCATTTTGAAAAAATTTTCCCCTAGCTCTTTTACCCCAGGCCCCCCGGGACCTTCCTTTGTATTCAAAAAAACTTGAAACTATCTGTGAAATACTGTATTTAAAGAGCAAATGGATTAGAATTTAAAACTAATAAACTGAACTTATGAGTAAATTCCCAAAGAGTGAATTTTTATAAGAAATATTAGAGGATGGTAGTTTTCAAACCTCTTCCTTAAAGGTGAGAAACGTATTCATTGAATGCGATATTTATTCAAAAGATGCATTCACAAAAAGTGTTTATTTTTTAGCTAGGTAAATATGTTTTGAAAAAATAACATTCACTGAATATGTTCTTTCAAAAGTCTTACTATTTGAGAAAACCTTTCCAAAAACCACCACTCGTGTGTGGACAACGAATAAGTTTAAAATTGGCTGTCGTTACGATTAAGTAACTCAAATAATACAATGACCTTTAGGAGTACTTGCTAGGTCTGTAAGTAATCGAAAGAGTTGCTCAAACGCCAAGAGTTTGTAGGTATGTGGTCCAGCGGACTCCACTCAAAAAGGAATAAGCCGTAAGCGAATGACTGGCTCCTGCATTGGGCATGCACATACACCAGCAGACATCATAATTGGCCTTCGGGAGCAATTGGCCATAAGTAGAAGTGGCTGCCGAAAGATTTGGACCTGAAGTTTCCAAACATTCGAGTATACTGGTCTGACAGCTAAAGGCATTGAACTCACAACTATGGCAACACTGGGAGCTGGACGAATATCTGGTAGCATCCCAATATACTATACAAAATGCATAGAGGAAAAGGATAGGGTAGTACGTGTGTTTAGGAGGAAGAGAGCTATATATAAGATTTAACCCAAAAAACAGAAAGAACTGCTATTTTTGTCATTTCGGGGTCAGTAAAAGTGGCAAACAACTGTTCCGACAAAATTTCAATCATCTGGTGGGAAGTCTTCATCAGAAGCATTATCCAGAAAAGAACCCAGAGTCTTTCTCAGAATGCTAAAAGTTTTGTCATCCTGCAAGGCAAAAAGAGAGAAAGGTCATTGTCAACAAGATCACATAAACACGTACAGGCACAAAAAGAGAGGGAGGAATTATATGTTCACCTGTTTCTTCTTCTTCAGCGACTCCTCCAAGTCAGTAATTCTACTTGCACAGGCTTTCTCAAGTTCAGCTATCATACTCTTCTCTTTCTTCCCTGAAAATTTGGAAGTATACAAGTCAAGTTGTTTCTAAAGACAGAACAGGGAATAACTTGAGGTCCTGTTGCTCACTTAATTGTTCATATCGCATGAATAATTTTTCCTTTTCTTCCTCGTACTTCGAAATTGCGTCTGCAGAACAATAAATAACAGTCACTACAAACTTTTTTAGGGCAGTCATTAACAGCCAAGGTCCTTCACCTACCAGGTAAATGAGTAGAACGAAAATATTATAAAATTAACATGATTTAATGGTTGAAGGTCCGAGTCTGGACCAACATCACTTTAAAGCTATGCATAAATCACAGAAAAACAGCATCTTTCAATTGGGCATAACTAGTTAGTTAGGAAAATAGCAGCATCTTTCAGGAAGAATTGATCCCATATCTGACTGTTCTTGATAGGAGAAAAGGGGGAGCTCAAATTCAGTCAGTGATTTTTTTAAAAAGTGTTTCTTATAAATAATTGAGGAGAATTTTTCATGAGAAACACAGGTACGGAAATGGAACAGTGCTGCTGTGTGAGGTACAACTGACCATGGAATTGGACATTTTATGCAAAATTCACATGCTCAAAGTGCTTACCCTTCAAACCCTGCATATGTACAGTTTTCTCCTTGCAGAAATTCTCGTACACTGCTTGAAACTTGGTAGATTCATTCTTCAACAAATTTTCACACTGCAAAGTCATAAGCGTACCCATTCATAGCAAAGCATTAAACTCAAGCAAAATTCAGCCAATTTGATTTCGCCATTCCAGTGCAAACCTCTTTTGAGCTCTTTGATAGCGCTTTAGCAAAAGCTTGCCTGAAAATTCAGCAGAAAAGAGAACAATGAGAGATGGTTTTCCATTCACTTGGAGATGAAATATGCTACTCCAGCAAACTTCTACACAGCAAAAACTTAACATCTTAAAATTTTTGAGGTGGACTGTGAATATAATGGATGATAACTTTTCACCTGTCCTTCTCAAGCTTTGTTCTCAACTCATCAAGATTTGACTTGATCTCTGATGCCACACTGTGAACAAAAAGCCAGTTAACAGTTGGCAGGGGTATCAAAAATATATACGAATACAAGCAATAAACTAGTGCACCCAGTCATTAGTCGAACCCCATTGGGAACTTGGACAACCCAAACATGAATCTCTTACACACCTCAGCAATTTCGAGCTCACGGAAAATAGATAATTTATCAGCTCTAGACTCATTTTTACTATACCATCAAATATACTAAAACCAGAATCTACAACTAATGTCAGATTCTCTGAGATAGTGCACGCATCCAACATGATTACTGTATCACCAATTTAGAGTATTTTGGGGCAAAATCTCTCCAAGCAATTCTAAGAAAACTCAAATAAGAATCGCATGAAATATCAAGAGCTGAAAGGTAGAATATTCTGGAATCCGTATTGTTTAATCTGGTATACGCAAAATAAAAAACAATAAAACAGATGTTTCAACTCAATCCAGAGCAGCTGAATTAGTGGTCTACAAAATCACCAACAAGCTGAAGCAAACTTTCAGAGCTACAAAATTATAGTAAGCTAGAAATATCAAAAACCACATGCTTCAATCTCGCTATGGTACATTTACAAACTCGCATTGTTTCACATCCATTCTAACGAAAACCGGCTGAATAAATCTTCACGGCAACATAAACAGCATCCGAGCAAAGATTTGAGACATGAAGTAAAACAGAAAGCTCCATAACAATTTACTCAGTTCGTAAATCAGCATATACACATTCTCACTCACACACACAGAGACGACAAGCATAACCAGGAAAGGACTTTCATGCTTACCACTATACAGCTTCAATTACGAATACAAAATAGGTAAAAGTATCATAAATATCAAAATTATACATAGAAAACTAAGCAAACACAAATTCTGGTTTCGTGAATCCAGATATAAGGAAAAAGTTAAAAGCCGTTGAAAATTAACCTGGAAATAGTTTCTTCGTTCTTCTTCTCGCCGTCCTTTTGAGCTTTCTGCCTAATTTGCTGCAGAGCCGTCATAATTCCTTTAATATCACTGCAATTTCAACATTTTATTCTTAATTAAATCTACATATTCGAGCAAAAATAATCGAAAAAACAGGAATAGAACTTCGACGGACTTGGAGAGATCGGCGTCGAAATCATCTTCTATGACGACTCGCTTCAGCCTCTCCGATTTCGAAACATCTGATTCACTGCCTCGCTTCTTCGAGCTTGATTTTCCCGCCGTCGCTGCCGACATTTTCAAATGTTTTGGAGAAATTTCTTCGTTTTTGTTCTCCTAAATTGAGCGATTTCTGTGCTCTGGATATTTGTGAATTTTGAGAGAGATTTTTGAATTGGAGAATGAGACTACACTGGTCTAGTTATTTGTAATTCTTAATATATTCAGTGGCGCGAAGAAACTCCAAGTCCAAGGTACTGGCTGGTAATTGGGCTGGGCATTCACTCTCTAAATGGGCTTTGACATATCCAATGAAAATTCAGGTTCGTCCTAGCGTATTCGTTTTAATTAGCCCAATAACTATAATGGGCCCAGTTAATAACCACATGGGCCAAAAAACTCATTGGAAATGAGAAACACCGGCAAGGAATGGAAAGTGGCATTCAGTATTCTATTTAGGGCTTTTGTTTTTTTATTGATTATTTTAACTAATTATAGATTCTGATTTTGGATTATCAGTTTCTGTTATGTTTTCGATTACTTTTGTATTCTGATTATAGATTTTTTAATGACCAAAAAAGTAAATTTTATAATATCCCAAAAGTAGCTTTTGCTATTTTTGATTAGTCTCCATAATCAATTTTTATAATTAGACTTTATAAAATTTAAAGCAACAGAAAACAAGGTCTTGGAACCTTTAGAAGTGGTGAAGGCATTGCTTGTGGACAATCTTATGGGAGCTTCTTTTGTTTTTTTTTTTTTCTTTTTTTGAAATTAAAAATATTTTGGGAGCTTCTTGTTACATAGGTTGCCTCCTTCTGATTGCAAATTAAAAAAAAAGGTTAACCAGATTTATTTTTGATCAATTATCTTTGGTTAATAAAAAGTTTTTGGAGTCTTTTTCATATGTGGTTTTTAAATTATCCTTTTTTGTTTCACATGCATTACATCATAAAAAGTTTTACAGTAAAAGTTTTTTCTGAACGAATTGTTTAATCATCTCTTCTAACTAGTAACTACGGAAGTATAAGCCATTGAAATAGACCTTTTCAACTTTTGAAGGGGAATAGGGATCTAACAACGATTTTATAGGGTGTGTTTGGATTGATAATTTTTTAAAATAATAATTTACGTACATTACAAACATATTTTTAAACTTATTTTTTTAAATTATTAATTATTTTTTTACTTTACAAACATTACATCACAAAAAATACTATTATAACAATTATTTTAAATAATACCATATCATCGGTACTCGTTGATTTTCTGCAGACACGACCCCTTGGAATTTGGATACACCAACCATCATTCATCATGGGGGCTTGATTGACATCAGAAGATTAGTCTTCTAGAAGACCAGGAAAATTTGAACTTTGACCACTTTGTCTCTCGGTCTTTATTTGCACAAGCGAAGCCGTCGCAGTCGTCTGGATGGTCGGTTCAATATTCGTGACGTTTGGACAATCTTTTCAACCGATTAAATTTGTGATTTTTTCGCAAAACATTTTTTTTACGTTTTCTATAAACATACTTTTTAAAGATTAATTTTTCCTACATAGAAAATATATACACTGTCAGCCAGCGTTAGATAATTGATAGCTATACAAAATTTAAATTTGAAATTCAACTTTTACAGAGATGTCATGAATCAAGTGGTGACAGTGTATTATACACTGTCAGTATATATAAGATTTATTAATTTTTTTAATCACATTTTTAACTTACATATATCAAATTATTACAATATAATTTTCTACAAAAATTTCTAAAAGTAACAGTTAATGAATCACATCTAAACGGGAGCTGGACGTTAACTTTCACTTTTTGGAGGCATGCTAACAGAGGATGCTGTAATAGGAGAAGAAAATCTCACTTGGATCTTTGAAACTTTCCCCATTTCCGTCAATTCCATTAATTATAAAATTCATTAATGGTAGGTTTTTCTTTGTCTATTCACGACTGCCCATGCCAAGGTACAAGGAGCTAGAAAGATCAACTGATCCTTTTTCATAGATATGTAGTATATTTTTTTTTATACGATAACTCCACGTTTAACGTTCTTGGCCCGCAACCGTCGCCTTTTGAAGATGGAGATGCATGGGATTCTAAAATCTAATGAAATTCATGCTACACGCACAGGGCCTGCTCTCACTTAAATCCCGTTACCTGATTTTATATTCTGATTTTGAATAATTAAATTTTTTTTATTATATGTATTTTTACTTTTTTATGTTCGGTTTGTTTCGTTTCTATATTTCAGATATTTTTTTTTCAATAGTCAATAAAGTTAAAAGTTAAGATCTCAAATCAAACAAGACTAATTAAGTAGCAGATTTAGAAATACTCTCTAATACAGATTAGTTTAGAGAGGGCAGGAGCTGGGAAAAGTTGAATGTTCATGATTTCAACTGCCGGTCAACTGGTTTGCTTTTTTTTTTTTTTTTCTTTATTGACTAATATTGGTAGAAGTACAAAAGTAATTTGCATCAACATGTTTACCAACAAGTCAATTTGTTTTAGGGAATTCCTAGAAGGTGGCCGGATGAGAAAATTGGGGAGGAGTTATTTTCTTCAAATGGTCTTCTGCTTGGAAATTCCTGTGATGCTCATGACATCCAACTTTGGAAACTTAAGTCACCGAGTCAATTTGATATATAATAGTTAATCCAATGGTTATTATTAAAGAGTTTTTCTAAAGGGCCTCCACTGACACATATATATATATGTATGCACATATTAATAATAATAATTTTTTCTTGCACTATATACTTTTTTTATTTAATTTTACTTATCCTCTCGTATATTGAGTTAACTTTCTTAATTAATATTATTATAACACCTAAAATATATTTTAACCGGACCCATTATTAAAGATTGGAGTACTTTTAATCCATTAGTTGTGCTAGCGGTATCAAGATATTGATTGGTTTGCTCGCATAAAAAGATGCGCTGTACGTATGTTGTTCGTTTGTTGAATAGGTCAGAGAGTACTAGTCGAAAACGAAAACGTCCATCTAGAAGCAAACCACATATTTTCTGCTCTGTTTTCAAACTCGGACCGGACCGGGCGGTCGAACCGGTTGAACCGGGAACCGGCCAGGTAGCCGGTCCGAGTCACATTAGAAAACCGGAAATTTAAAACCCGGTCAAAGCCGGTCAAAAACCGGGTTTGACCGGGTTTGACCGGGAAAAAACCGGTTTTTCCGGTTCAACAGTATTTTTTTAAAAAAAAAATTCAAACTTTTTAATATTATGTTTTGACCCCCTAAATTGTTAAAACTTATTGATATACCTCAAATATTTGATACTTTATAAATATTGTCCTAAAATTTGATGTTATTTTTCAATTAAATTCATAATTTTAATTCTAAACTTGTTAATATTTATTAAATAATATAAATTGCTACTTGATTGTTCTAATTTCTTTGTATTTTCTTGTTAAATATATTTAAACATCAAATATATATGAATATGCCTTTATTAATATCAATATATTATTAGATATTATATATATAACATTTTAATTTTAAAATAATTTTTATTTATGACGTCATCCGGTTCGACCCCTATCGACCCCCGGTCGAACCCATTGACCCCTGACCCCTGACCTCGGCCGAGTCGCTATCCGGTCCGGTTCTGAAAACATAGATTTTCTGATGCCATGACACCAAGGTGGAAGTGGAACTTGCTTGGTAGTCCTACCAAGCAAGCATCCATCAAAGTTTGCATATTTCCTTGACGTATTTGGATTGGATTCCAAAAGGTTTTTTTGAAACCCTTGCTATTCTTCTTTTAAAATTGCCTTATTTAATTTTTACTATGATCCCATAGTTTACTGATCGTCGCAGTTAAATGTTGTGCTCCACAAATGGACTTTAATTGTGAGGGACTTAGCATCAGATCAAATAGGGTGATGGAACTAGGAACGGATTTGTCAACACAAGTTGATTCAACTGGTAAGGATATGCCACTTCTCTACAAAATTATATTTGAATCTCACTGTCGATGTGAGAATCGTGTTAATAAACGATCTGTAACAACTACAGTTTCGGAGAGACTGTTATGATAATCAGCGCCAGATTCATCCAAACTTTTTATTTAAAAAAGAAAGAAACGCACTTGGTATGGTAGTACGCGTCAAATTGGGTGATAGAGCCGTAAAGGTTTGCTGCGAGGCATGCGATGCTTACAAAAGGAATCGCCAACCACTACAAATGTCACCAAGGGCGGGGCGAGCTGTTGAGGATTATATCATGTGTTAGCCGGCTGCAAGAATGAATCGATTTTGTCCGCAGTAGTATACTACTGGTTCAGGTTTGCACCTCTCTATTATTTGGCCTGTTATAATCTGTTTTTGTAATTTTTTGTGATCGTAATCTATTAGTAGTATTTTTTAAAATGTATTTGTGGGCTTTGTGTGACTTGCTTTTAAGGATTAATGGCAAAGGTCGTTCAATAGGTTTGAGAACAACTCTTGCTTCTTCAAGTTTGTTAAAACCGAGATATAATATCGAATTGTACTCTTGAGAAACAAGCTCTTAAATCTTAATGAGGTTTTTCGGCCATTCCCCCTTACTTGTGTTGGTCCGGAAGTGGAAAGATTTTCAACCATTAAAGGGTTTATTAATTTGAAACTCAAGCTACAAGTAGAGAATGATAGATGGCAAAATTTAATACTACTTTGATTCATTCTCATATAATTCTCACAATACACCAAACAATGGATTTAGGTTATAACCAAATCCAATCCTACCCCTCATATCCATTTACTAGACACTCCTCAATCTCGATGAATGATGTTAGTTTTTACAAGAAAAGCATAATACATGTACATATATTATGTGTGTGCGCGCCTACATATACATGTTGTTTATTTTCTTGGTCAGTTCTTAGTGCTTAAATCTTAAGTAAACTCATATTAAGTGGCAATTTTTTGATAGGAGGCAAATATTGGGTTTGTTTGGATTGAGCTTTATTTCCCTAAATTTATTTGCTTACGTCATCATTACAATTTCCAATACACCTTTTTACCTTCCCAATTACCTTTTTATCTCACATACATCACATCACAAAAAGTGCTACAGTAAAAATATCTCTAATAATTCACAATCCAAACAGACCCAATCCTTGACCTACCATCCTATGCTAAAGGCAGCGGCCAACTCCACTAAAGAGAGTTGGTTATCATG